AGAAGTTGACGTACAGATGTTTGTAATGATTGTCTAATCTCGGGATCAAAGATAATGCTGGGTACAACAACATCTTCATCCGGTGTCTTGGACGTGCATTCGGCAATCAGCCTGGATAATACGTCAGCATGACCAAGTGAAGAGGTACTTTTAAACTGCAAATCAAACTCGCACACTAATAGGGTGGTTGCCTAACGTTGTAATCTGTTCTCCGGGTGAAGGGGGATTCCTCCTTTGATGCAAAAAGTAGATAGCAAAGGTTTATGGTCTGTGTACAAGGTAAATTTGCGTCCACGTACCATCTTTTGAAATTTCTTAACCGCAAAATCGAGAGCTAGTCCTTCATTCTCTCTCTGACGGTAGTTCTTTTCTGCTGCTATCAACGTGCGGGAAACATGCATCACAGCATTTTGATGTCCATTCGTGAACTGATGCAACAAGACCCCACCGATACCTTTTTGCGGTGCATCAGCAGCGACAATTATTGGTAATCCTGGGTTGTAATGAGTTAACAGAAGAGTGGAGGACAATATTTGTTTAATGTCATCAAAGGCTTTCTGGCACCGCCATGACTGATACCACACTGACTCGTTTGCCAAAAGTGAATTTAGTGGGTCCCGGAGTTCGTACATCTTAGGGACAGTTTTGATAATAGTTAACTAGACCCAAGAAAGACTGCAAAGTAGCTTTGTTCATAGAGTGTGGCATTAACTTGATGGCGTTTATTCTGTTTGGTTCTGGCCGACGATCGGAACTGTCGATAACCGTGCCAAAGGATATGATACTGGGCTTTCTGAGCTCGGACTTCTCTGGAAGTACACTAAATCCAAATGAATCTATCCTGGATAATAGTTTGTTTAGGCGGATGTAATGATTTTCATTGGGGGAGCTTACAAGTATTATGCCATCCAAATAAGTCATGGCACACTGTAATCCGGACAGCCTAGCGTCCATCACCAGTTGAGACATCCATGGAGCAAATTTTACTTCGAAAGGTAACCCATCGTGTCGGTACAACTCTCCATGAGTATTAAGTGTCAGTAGAACTTTTGAGCGATCCTCGACAACTGCATGCAAGCCCGCATCCCAAAAATCAATTTTAGTAAGGAACTTCCCTCCAGTAAGCTTAGTAAATAAAACGTGAGAAAAAATGAAGGATATTGATGCGTTTCCAATGTGTTATGTAAAACCGTAGCAAAATAAGCACAAATACGCAAATTGCCATTGGCATTTCTGATGACAACAAAAGCAGCGGCCGCGGTGAGTAAGTCAAAGAATCGATGAGGCCAATGGAACCCAGTCAAAAAATTTACTAATCCAATGCGTACGGTACTGGGAATTAAGAAAAATTCTAAGGAATTTCCCCCAAAGTTGCATAAAAAGTCCAAAATTTCGCAAAGAATGCGCAAACGTTTGCAAAAAAGTAAAATTTGCAAAAAGGTTAAAAACTTGCAAAATCCTGCGCGATTCGTCAGCCGCTCAGAGTAATCTTCTGCCCTTAAGTGTGTTCTCATTGGTCGGATGCCAAGTTTCCGTGCGTTAGTCTGGGGAGGTGACAGCGATGCCCGTTGACTGGGTGAGACTTGTGAATCAACATTAGAGGCACGCACTTCGGCGGTGCAGCGGGCTTGTAGGCGCAACCCTCACGTCCGAAAGGTGGGATCACAAATAGTCTGAGAGCAATATACAGCGGAAACATAAGCGCACGACCGAAACCATGTCTATGGTACTAACATCGTCGGCATGCGTTCTCGTATTCGACAGAGTATCTCCTCAGACATTCGTGACCGAGTTTTGGGCGCCTTTTCAACGGTGATGACTGGCAGCTGGTGGCAACTGTGAACAACGTCAAATATCTAACAGCCTACCCCTGGATTCGTCGTCCTCTTGATCAGGAGCCGAGTACTACGCAAGTGCGCGGTCGTAAGCGGATTCTGTCGGTGGAAGACGTAGATGACATCATGGATTGGATCGCAAGGGACTCAACTCTTACGCTACGGGAAATGCGAGTACGAGCAGAAATGGACAAGGACATTTCGAAGTCAACAACCGCACGGCATTTCGATGGTCGATTGATAAGTATGAAGAACATCTATCAGGTTCCCGAGGAAATGAAAATTGAGCGAACCAAAGGGATACGCAGAGACTTCGTTCAGCAGTTTCGCCAATTTGGGAGCGATGGCAAGTTCTTCATTTGGATTGACGAAGCGAAGTTCGACGTTTACTGCGAACGTACTCGTGGTCGGGCGCCCAGAGGAGTGAGGGCCTGTTGCAAAGTTGCCAATAGTAGAGGCCTCAATTTGCATTGGATCGGTGCACTCACAATGGAAGGGTAAGTGTCGATGACCACCCGGAGATGCTCATTCACTGGTCCCCTATCTCTCAAATGGTTGCGAAGCTAGTTAAACAATCTGCAATGGCAGATGGAGCTCCGGCAGGTTGTCGTGGTATATGATAATGCACCATGTCACACACGACTGGAAGAGCTGTCGTCAGTAGATGGATACGAGGGAGTAACCATCCTGAGATTGAGCCCATACTCTCCGTTCCTCAATCGGATCGAGAATGTTTGGCAGGTGGGGAAGGCCAGAGTGAAGAATGAGATGAGAGCACACTACGAGTATCTTCTGGCAATGCATCCCCAGAAGCTCATGACGCAGATGGAATGGAGGCTGCAGTTCCTTGAACGCATTGCCGAAGCAGCCACCAAGGATATCAGCGTTGCGAGATGTCGTAATGCTATTCGACATATTCACATATATTTTCCTAATTGCCTAGAAAAAATGACATGTTTTGATCACATTGCTA